AAAAAAAAAAGGATGCTTAACCAAGTGAGCTGCCTAAGCACCTCTAGTTTTTATTTTTATTTACTTTGTTATTTTAGGGGGAGAGGGGCAGAGAGAGAGAGAGAGAGAAAGAAAGAAAGAGAATCCCAAGCAGGCTCCATGCTCAGGGGCTTGATCTCATGATCCTGGGATCATGACCTGAGCTAAGATCGAGTTGGACGCTTAACCAACTGAGCCAACCAGGCACCCCAGGATTTAGTTTTAATTATCTTTATCTTTTCAAAGACAAAATTAAACCTGGGTTAAGTTACCATAATGCCTTTTAAGGAATTTAAGGGGGGGTTTAGTACGTTTGTCCCCATTCCTCCCTGTCTGGTTTTGTTCATCTAATCATGTGTTTGAAATCCCATCATTCATTTTTTCACTCATGTTCTTTTACATTGTATCGTTCATCCATCTGTTTAAAAAAAAAATGAAATGTTTGTAATTAGTTTTACAGCCAAATTTCAAGCTGTCAGGTGCTCTTCTGCGCGCTTAAATCAGTCTAAGCTCACTGCCACTCTATTACATACTCATTAAGCTCTTGCTTTTAATATGTGGTACCTTAAGGAAGGTTATTGTGGTGTTAAGGGTTTTGAGACTGTTTATACTTGAGAATGTATTTCTCGTGTTTTTAATGTGAATGACCCCTCATCTGACTATGGAGTTATTGGGCTCAGCCTTCAGTCGTCAAGGCTCTGTAGGTATTACTTGGTCTCTTATTGTTTGTCGTTATGGAGGAGTCTGAGACCAACCAGATTTTTGAACTTGAGAGAAACTCTTAACTTATGAGGTTACTGTTTACTTTTCAGGCTTGAAATTCCTTTGAAGTTATGTCTAGGTGGGATTCTCTCTTTTAAAAAAAGTAAGAGCCTTTTATTTTGAGATAATTTTACAGAAAAGTTATAAAATGGTGCTGAGAGTTCCCATATGTCCTTCCCCCAGGTTTCCTTGATGTTAACATTTTATGTAACCATGGTACAATGATCAAAACTAAGAAAATGACACAAACATTTTATTCAGATTTTCTCAGTTTTTCCATTAATGCCCTTTTTCTGTTCAAGGATCTGATTCAGGATGCCATTTTGTATTTAACATGTTAAATGTTAGCATGTCTCCTTATATCCTACCGTCTGTAACGGATCCTTAGTCTTTCCTCAGTCTTTCCTCATCTTCCATGCATGACCTTGACACTTTGAAGAGTACCAATGCAAGTCTTTTATAGAATGTCCTTCAGCTTTGGTTTGTTTGATGTTTTCTCATGATCAAACTGAAGTTACAGCTTTTAGGGAAGAATGCCACAGAAGCGATGTGCCCTGCTCAGCGCGTGATACAGGGTACATGATATCAGTGTCTTGTCACTGGTACTGTTAACTGAGATCACTTGATTATAGTGGCATCTGCCTGGTTTCCCCACTGTAAAGTTACTGTTTTTCTGTTTATACTTCGTATTCATTAGAAAGGAGTCACCAAGTCCAGTCCATTGAAAGGCACCTCTTGAAGGGAAGGGTATCAAAGAGTTTGAGGACATATATATTAAAACTATCACAGTATTAATAAATATTTGGGGAAGATGCTGTGAGGCTATGCAAATATCATATTTCTCCTTAAGCTTTTGCCCATTGATTTTAGTATTCATTGGTAGGTCTTTCCTGCAGTAATTATTACTGTGGTTCAATTGCCTAATGGTGATTATTTCCCTCATTCCTACCATATTTAACACATAGAAATCTTCTGTAACAAACAATTGTTCCTTCTCATCCATTTATTTATTTACTTATATCTGTATGGATTTGTGACTATTCTTTGGGTTTCATGTCTTTAAAAAAATTGTCTGAAGGGGCTCCTGGGTGGCTCAGTCGGTTGAGTGGCAACTTCTGCTCAGGTCATGATCTCACGTTTCATGAGTTCGAGCCCCACATTGGGCTTGCTGCTTTCAGTGTGAAGCCTGCTTTGGACCCTCTGTCTTCCTCTCTCTCTCTGCTCCTGTCCCACTTGCACTCTCCCTTAAAAATAAACATTAAAAAGAAAAAAGAAAAAAATTGAAATATAACACAATTGTCAGATTGAGGTTTTTCTTCTTTTTTTTTTAAGATCAGGAAAGCTTTCTTCCTGAATGTCATTCATTATTCCTGTTCTAGCTACTGATTTTCTTTTTGAGGAATTCCCATTATATGAAGATTAACTCTCCTGAAGGCATTTTTTTATAGAAGATTGTCTTTTATTTTTATTTAATATTTTTTTATTTTTGAGAGAGAGTGAGAGACCGAGTGAGCAGGGGAGGGACAGAGAGAGAGGGTGACACAGAACCTGAAGCAGGCTCCAGACTTTGAGTTGTCAACACAGAGACTGACGTGGGGCTTGAACTCATAAACTATGAGATCGTGACCTGAGCTGAAGTTGGACACTTAACCGACTGAGCCACCCAAGGCACCCCTATAGAAGATTTTTTAAACAAAATTTTACAATACTAAATTATAACCATTGTCTTCCCTTTTTCTCATTCAGATTTTTTTGTCTTATGCATTTTCTTTTTAAAATTTTTTTTGTAGACATTAAAATATATATCAAAAACACCATGCAGGCACCAGAGTCCTGAGATTGTCAGAGAGTTTCTCACAGCAATGAAAAGCCACAAGTTGACCAAGTAAGTAAAAATTATTTTAACTAGGAAAAGTGTGACACATAATGAAAATGATAGCTTACAAAAACCATCCTTAGCATTGGTGTATTTCTATTTAGTTGGGTTTTGAATCATAATTAACACACAGTGCTCTTTTACAGTAGGATCATGGTATCATAGACCAGACAGCTAAGACTTAGACACAAGTGTCTTTCTAGAGCCAGAAACAGAATGTAATGTAAAAAATCTTTCTTTGTTTTTTGTTGTTTTTTGAATCCCAGTTCTATGAGCTGCCCCATAACCCCTTTCCAGCACTCAGGCCAAATTGGTTAGAAATGAAGTTCACAAATTACAGTGCTCTTTATAAAGTTGATCAGTTAAGTCATTTGTCATTTGTGTTTACTTGGGGCAAAAATGGGTTGATAATATTGTCTTCCAGGGGTTTGATTACTTTTCCTGGTTACTTTCTTTCTTTCTTTTTTTAAATAGGAATTATAAACATCATTAAAAATTGGATTAAGATTAGTTTATATGAGAAGAATACTAGCCCTAGTCTTTTAGAATTAATACCAGAGCCGATAAATCCCAAAAGCCGTTGTCATTCATTCAGGATAATTAATAATTTTCTTTTGAGGGAAACATTGGTGTTATTTCAGACACACGGGGGCTACACTGTCAATAAACTAAGTGACTTCTCTTGCCTCTCCAGGTGAACTCTGAAGGCAGTCATCTTTCAAATGTGTGTTTGTGTGTATATACTTTGTTTTTTCACTTGTGGTAAAATTTATCATCCTAACCACTTTTAAGTGTGTAGTTCATTAGTGTTAAATATATTCACATGTTGTGCAGCCAGTATCCAGGAGTTTTTAATCTTACAAAACTGGAACTCTGTACCAATTAAATAACTCCCATTTCTTCCTCACCCCAGCCCCTGACAATCACTGTTCCATTTTCTGTTTGTATTCTTTTTCAAGATTATTTGGATTGTTTAGGGTCCCTTGGGATTTCCATATGGCTTTTTCTATTTCTGTAAAAAATGTTATTGGGATTTTGATAGGGATTATGTTGAATCTGTAGGTTGTTTTTGGATAGTATTGACATCTTAACAGTGTAAAGTTTTGCAGTCCACAAACATGGAATTTCTTTGTTTATGTCTTCTTTAAATCTTTCAGCAATATTTTATAGTCTTCAGTATACAAATCTTTTACCTCCTTGGTTAAGTTTATCCCTAATTATTTAATTTTTTTCAGTGCTGTTGTAAATGGAATTGTTTCTTAATTTCTTTTTCAGATTGTTCATTATCAGTGTATAGAAACACAACTGGTTTTCATGTGTTGATTTTTGTATCCTGTAACTTTGCTGAAATTGTTTATCAGTTCTAACAGTTTTTTGTTGCATCTTTAGGCTTTTCCACCTATATCATAGTGTTGTTGTCTGTGAACAGAGATAATTTTACTTCTTTTTCAGTTTGCATGCTTTTGTGTCTTTTTCTTGTTTAATTCCTCTGGCTAGGACTTCCAGTAGTATGTTGAATAGAAGTGGTGAAATCAGGGACGCCTGGGTGGCTCAGTTGGTTAAGCGTCTGACTCTCTTTCGGTTCAAGTCATGATCTCATGGTTCGTGAGATTAAGCCCTATGTCAGGCTCTGCACTGATTGCCTGAAGCCTGCTTGGGATATTCTCCCTCTCCCTCTCCCTCCCTCCCTCCCTCCCACCCTCTGTCTTTCTCTCTCTCTCTCTTTCAAAATAAATAAACTTCAAAAAAAAAAGTGTGAAAGCAGTCATCCTTGTCATCTTTCTAATCTTAAGAGAAAAAGCTTTCAAACCCTTGCACCATTGAATAGATGTTACCTGTGGGTTTTTTGTATGTGGTCTTTGTTATGTTGACGTAGTTTCCTTCTATTCCAAGTTTGCTGAATATTTTTATCATGCAAGGGTATTGAATTGTGCCACATGCTTTTTCTGCAACAACTCAGCTGATTAGGTGGTTTTTTTTCCTTCAGTTTTTAGTGTGATACATTACACTGATGGATTTTCACGTGTTGAGCAGTTCTTGCATTCCATGAATTAATCCCACTTGGTCATTGTGTGTAATTCCGTAATATGCTGGTTGGGTTAATATACTGTTGAGGATTTTGCACTAACTTAAGAGATACTGGTCTATAGTGTTCTTGTGGTGTCTTTATCTGGCTTTAGTATCAGGGCAGTCTTGGCCTTATAAAATAGAAAGTGTTCCGCCTGCTTTAATATTTTAGAGGAGTTAGAAGATTTGGTGGGGTTTTTTTTGTTGTTTATTTTTTTAATATTTGACACACTGTATTCTTTATTTATTTTAAGTAGGTTCCACGCCCAATGAGGGGCTTGAACTCACGACCCTGAGATCAAGGGTTGCATGCTGTACCAACTGAGCCAGCCAGGTGCCCCTGAGAAGATTTGGTGGTAATTCTTGGTTAAATGTTTGCTAGAATTCACCTGTGAAACCATCTTGTCCTGGACCTTTCTTTATTTGAGGTTTTAGATTATTCATTAAATCTCCCTACTACTTATAGGTCTGTTGAGATTTTTTATTTCTTCATCGAGTCTTGGTAAGTTGTGTCTAGGACCATATGTATGTATTTTTGAGGGAAAATTATTTACTTGTTACCCAAAGTCATTCTTGTTCTTTGATGTATTATAAGCTTTAAGCTTAGAAGCTTGTAATGTTTGGGGGGGTTGGGGATCAGAGAAGATCTTCCTTATTAAAAGCCAGTATGAATTATAACGTATGAACCAGGGAAGTTTCACATCTCTACCTTACATTCCATTTATTGAGTCCATTTAATGTTCGTGCATTTAACACTCTCATTTAATTGTAATTTTCATAGCAGCCCAATGGACTGCTGTTATGTATAGACTCTACTGCAGATGGGGATATTTGAGTTCGTTATTTCAGCTTTCTAGTTTAACTTTGTCCTTTTTGGCTGTCTTTGCTTTTGGTTCCTGAATGATAAAGTGCTGTTGTTATTCTACCTGTTACAATGAAATCACTTCATTCCGACTGATCTAAGTAAATCAGTCTGTCACCTCTTTGAGTTCTCATTTTTTTCTCCAAACTCTTTTAGTGGGGAGGCCAAAATGCAAGAAAGTAGACTTTGTGAGAGCACCTAACGATGTAGTCAGTTGAAATTATTCCTTTAGTCTAAATGCTTTTTGGCCATTACAACCTTTAATATTGATAAAACAGATTTGAAGCAGGTTGTGTTTACAATGAAAAGAGCAGAAGCTGAATCCTCACTGGTGTTGTGGCTTTATTGCCTGCCGTTGGTACACAAATATTATGGTTAATATTTGTGGTGTTTGAAGTAGTCAGGGGTGCCTGGCCTTTTCTGGTAGCTGAAAATTATCTTAAGAAATACACAAAATCAGGGGGCCTGGGTAGCCAAGTCAGTTGAGCAGCCAACTCTTGGTTTCGGCTTGGGTCATGATCTCATGATTTGTGAGTTCGAGCCCCACCTTGGGCTTTGTGCTGATAGTGCGGAGCCTGCTTGGGATTCTCTCCCCTTCTCTCTGCCCCTTCCCTGCTCCTTATGCTCTCTCTGTGTCTCTCTCAAATAAACTTAAAAAAAAAAAAAAAAAAAAAAAAGTATTCATAACCAGATGGTTCAGAAATTGGAGTTTAGCTCTGAGAATAGACTAACTTCCAATGGAAATGTTTCTATAGAATATGAGGGAAAGGGAAGGTGAGAAGACAAAGTCTAAGTGTAGGAAAAGTAAGGCTTTGGCTATTTTATATAAACTGCCTCACTTAATCCTGACAGTCAACTCAGTGTTTTGCAGATTAGTGGGCTGAGGTTGAGATAAGTTACATATGTGCCCCAGATCAGTCACATTGTGAGTGGTACAGCTTACCCAAAGTTTCATGTTGTTTTTCTGAGAAAGCTAGTTAAGTGTGTGTATAAAGATAGTAGACCCAGTGAGCCCTGTGGTTGTCCTTGTTTGGGTGTTGAGAAGGAACTTTTTCTTCTGGGGAAAAATAACATAGCTACTCTTCCAACAGCCGGTCAAGAAAATTTTTCACTCCCAGAAATTTTAGAGTAACACTGGATTCCTATAAATATTTATTTTCAAATGATTTATCTTGTCATTAATATATAAGCAATTCATGTGTATGGCAGATCAGTTTCATCACCCCCAGAAATTATCTCATTATGTCTTTTGTAATTAATGCCTTTCCCTGTGCCCAGTGCTTGGCAGCTGATCTGTTTTTTTTCCTATGAGTTTGCCCTTTCCAGAAATCATGTAAATGAAATAATACAGTATATAGCCTTTTGAGTGTGTCTTCCTACATTTGCATACTGCATTTGTGCTTTATCCACATTGTTGTGCATTTATTCCGTTTTATTGCTAAGTAGTATTCCAGTGTATGGATATACTGCAGTTTGTTTATTCACTAATCAATTGAAAGACATTTGAGATGTTTCCGGTTTTTGGCAATTATGCAGCTACTGTAAACACACCATCTGTGTTTTTGTGTGAGAATAAGTTTAACTCTAAGAAACTGCCAAACTCTTTTCTAAAGTGACTACACTCTTCTGCATGCTCTCTAGCCAATGTAAGAGAGTTCCACGAGTACTTGGTATTTTTAGTAATTTTTAGTTTAGCTGTTTATATTGGTTTGAAGGGGTATCTCATTGTGGTTTTAATTACATTTTCTTGGTAATGAATGAGTGTTTTCTTTTATTTCACATATCTTGGATGAAATGTCTATTTAAATATTTTACCCATTATTTTGTTTTTATTACATAATTTTGACAGTTCTTTGTATATTCTGGATATAAGTCTTTTGTTCAGTATGTAATTTGCAGATATTCTGTCCAATTTGTGGTTTGTCTTTTCATTCTCTTAACACTATCTCAGAACACAAGGTTTTGATGGAGTCAAATTTATCTATTCTTTCTTCTCTTATGCATCCTGCCTTTAATGTTTTGTGTAAAAACTGCCATATCCAGGGTTACAAAGATTTTTCTCTTGTGTTTTCTTCTAGAA